GGGTTGGCCACCTCTCTGTTTACGCCACTCTGAGTTGGGCATGGAAAACAGCACTCTCTTCGGCAAACGATGGTTCGGCATACGTAACACATGTCCCAACCAACGCGGCTTCTGGTGCTGGACACATTCTTCAATGGAAGTACCCGCTATACAACCGAAAACACGCTTTCCAGCTGGCTTTCTATGGTTTCAGTAACATGGCTTCCTTTCATTAAAGAAGAACGAACTCGTTGAAAAACAAGAAAGTGAACATGTGGCAGTCTCGCGCACTGTATATCAGGAACTTACAAGGCTCTCAAGTGCAGACCGCTACTAATTCTACTAAACGATGAACTCAAGCAGTAGCCGGATATCACCGTTTAGTAAAAGAGGAATATCTCATCACCTCTTTTCGATAGCAACTGCGCGTTTAGAAGTCAAACCGTGTTTGTATCGAGATACAAATCCAACATATCCTGTGTTGAAACCCTTCATCTCCAATATATGGTAGCCATCGCTGGAAACTGTATGAGGATTTGTGCATAGCTCACTCCAGACCGCCAAGTATGTGGCCACTGAAATCCTAGATATTTACATAACCGACTTGACTTGTCATAGGAATCAGCCGCAGTAACGTTAGGTAAACACATGGGTAAGGAATACATGTGCCCAGAATAACCACTATCAAGTTATCTGATCAGAAATATTACCACCTACTCTGCGAAATAAAAGAATAGCAAAGAGACTGACCTGATAGAATCCATCTGGTAATTCTTCAATAGGATAATGGTAGAGCATCTGATTGTATATCACACTTAGAACATATTTATGCGTGGAAGTGCTGTAGCGGATGAGGAAGGTGCCATTATGGCTGTGATGTTTTAATAGGCGTTCAGTATCCTCACGGCTGATATTGCCGTGAAACCAGTGACTGGGGGGCGTAGTACTGTCGATTGCTTCACTCTTGGGACGGGTCGGCATGTTGCGTGGAGGTACAAGTTCAAAAGGAGAGATGCCTATTGGAGCGGCTGTCACGGGAATGGGTCGGTGAATTATTCGGGCGTCGGAGTGTGTGCGGACAAAACTTTCGTCCGTCTGTTTACGTGGTTGAGGCATTCGCAAGATCACGGCTACTTTAAGTGGTGGGGCTATGGCCAGGGGCGCATCACGAAGATAAGGCTAGCCAGGCCCTACAAGACAAAGAGACACGATTAGGAGGTAAGGAAAGTCCCACCTGAGCTGAAGTAAAATATTACCTTGGAGGAGTGCAAGTGCGGCACAAAGAGACACAATAGGCTACACAGGCTCAGTGGTTAGAGCGAGAATCTACTAACCAAGTCCGCGCTTCGAACCCAACCTCTGTATATCTCTTTCCCCTGTCTAGGCTTGGGTAACCTCGTAGTATCCCATCCCTCGTGCTTCCTTCGGGTGGGATGGCAGCTAGGCACCAAGAGGGTGCGATACAGACATGTCAGCATCCACATATGAGTGGCAACTTGATTTGTTTCTTCTTGAGACCAGCATATCGAGATTGAATGGCCGAATATACAGGGCTGTATACAAATAGTAAAGAGAAATTTCCTCATAAAGGAAACTAATTACAAGTTTGCTGAATACTCTTCGACAGCAACCTTGTGCGTAGTTTTCTTCATGAGTATCGAATCTCGAATATCTCGAATATGGTTCAAACTGGAACATGAGGCGGTCTTTGTGCAGCACATTCAGTTGAAGAATATCATAAACCAGAGATTCAATAGTCTCCGGTGAAAACCCAGTTGATGCGCAGATGCGTATATTTGCTGAGAATAAATAACAATCTTTCGGTGCCTAGCTGCCATGCCATCCGAAGTAAGCACGAGGGCCTAGGTATTGTCAATTTGCCCAAGAGTCAGTCAAGATGCCAGAGTTGAGTTAGAACCACGGACCTTTCGGTTAGTAAGTTCGCCCTTCAACCACTGAGCCATTCTCAGGTACATATACAAACTATACATACATGAAGATTCCAAACGTACGTACAGCTGCTGTCTTGCGATACGGGTGTTATGATGACCAGGAGGGTTATGCCGGCTCTAGACACCATATAATACGAAAACCCAAAGGTTGATCGTGGCTGTCATCATCACAGTCATCTTCAGCTCTAAACCGTGTACATGTTGTGCATTGCCAAAATTTCGCTCGCTGAGTTTATGCCTGCCCCACATGTGATGCAGGTTCATAAAAGCTTCTCTGGCCCTCCCAACCCGGATGGAAATTTCGTTTATGACCAGGTCCCATAGAGATAAATATTTCTACTACTTCAATCGACTCAGCCGCAAGGGTGAGATTCGGGTTCGAGCCCACCCAGTGTTGCAGCAGTACTCAATAGTTTGCAGGTGTGAAGCGCAGCCACGAGGCGCAATTATTTACACAATTTGATATCACCTGCATCACGATGCCGTCAGGTCCTAAAATAGTCATTTCTTCCGTATACTCGATATCTGTGAGAGAGCGCTTCGATCCGACAGACAGGCTGACAGACTTTCCTGGCCTTGTGAAAGACGGCAGTCTTACCTGAAACCAATTTATGTAACCTCAGGCGACATTTTGCCACAGACGCTAACGTGTCCACGAAAGCTGGCTTACAGCACTCTAATGAGGGCTGACGATTTATCTGGACACCTTTGCTCCGTAGACACTGCCTTAGTTATTGACGTCCACAGGATCAAAGGCATCAAGTGAAGGCCCGGCAGCATACCATAACTGCTATCTTCAATCCAATTTCTATTGCTGTTGGCCGAACATAGGTTGTAGCGTTTTGCTGGAAAATGGAGAGATACATTGCCAATTTACCTGGTAAAAGCCTCATCAGCTGTGGGCCTATCGAGGTAAGGCTCGCCGACCACGCCACTCTGAGCTGCTGAACGACAGCTGTGAGGGCGAATAATACTTCGCGGTTGCCCAAGCCGAAGAAGGGGGTTTGGTACCCCACCTCGAAACTTCGACGACAATATCTAACCCTAAAGGGTAAAGAATTTTTTCGGTGACACTTCTCCTGGCGGTAGTTAGGGTTTTCTTGAGGGACCCATCCTGAGGCTAACAACCCAACAGTCCGAACAAGTTGGTTGTAGGGAGCTGACCTGAGGACGTAGGGGGTGACGCATAATAGTGACTTATGCAGATGCATATAGTAGGTACCTTCTGAGCAGCGTAACAATTGTTGGTTCTAAAATTATTCCGGCCGTACTGAACACTGCACTGCAGTTATCGGAGTGTGCGGATTTTAAGGTAGCCGTTTATCCACCTATTCCCACTGGGCGGGAGGTAGCGTCGCTGCTGGTTGTCCGAAGGAAACACCTTACTGGTTTCATGCTTTTATCGCCGAAATCAGTACATATTTTTCCACAGACCGCCCCATAATACGTTTACTCGCAGTTCATGAGACTCACTGTCCTTTGTCGGGGTGGTTCCAATTGGCCTTTGGTATGGTTCAACATTAAGGAACTGAGTTCCAGTCGGTGCACCTCACAGGATCATTGCAGCACTGGAGCCCGACCAACATGGCAAGATGACAGCTAAAGCTGTATGGATAACAGGCCTCGGTCGGGCTCAACAACCTGTAGTTCGCGGGTAACTCACGGTCCCAGAAATTCTCGCATTGATGCCAACAATGCGGTTATCAATTCGTAAGGCAGACTGAATTCTCAGGACAACCGACTGCTTAGGTGTCACCGGCACATCTGCTAGTGGGTACAAAGTAGCATGGTGAACCCCGCATGAATCAACAACTTTCATTGCGTTCAGCTCCTTCAAAATAGCACAAACGACTTTGACTGTTCATAATAAGAAATTTCTCCCAACGGCCTCATGGTTAACTTTGCTTCTTTCTATCCAGTAGACAGACTGACTCGAAAAGACGGCGCGGGATGGACCAAGTGGTTAGAGCGCGAATTTACTGACCGGAAGGTCCGTAGTTCGAACCCGACCTCTGCCTCTCGACTCGTCTAGGCTTGGAAGACCTGGCAGTAGCCCAGCCTTCGTGCGGCATGGCAGCTAGGCGCCGAAAGGGTGCTACAGCTTAACGATTTTTTGCTGCTCGTTCGAGCTGGGCGAGCGACATTTCTTAACCATCAAACTTCTCATCGTTCTCAACAGCAAGGAAAAACATAACGCGTGTGCCCCCCTAAGATCACCTCCTGCTTTTAACGCAATCTGTAAGACCTCGTCATCATCATCCTCATCATCACCTGTAAGAACCACGTACTTGTACAGTGGTTGTAGCTGACATACTTTCGTTCACCAATGACTTGGGGAGATGGGGTAGGTAGCTGCGCATTGGAGGCGGGAGCTGTAAGTTGGTGCGCGAATACAACATTATCAGCAGACCGTTAAGTGGGGGGATTGGGAAGGAAGCTATGCGTTAAAGGCAATAACTTGGATGCACGAGCGCCATTGAGGGCGCGACTGGGTCATGTCTGACAATGTCTCTAACCATTGATGTGGCCCGTCTCGGGGTACCCATCCAAGAAGACGACAATGACCAGCGCGCTGAGTTTGCTGGCAATGCCTTTCACACTTCGTTGTTAAGTCATTGTTTGACCGCCTCTGGCATACGCAGCAAGTGGCCAAGCCAGTGCAAACTATGCATTGTGATCACTTCATCTATCGAGGGTGAGTTATTTCTTGCCAATGCCACTCGAAGTATTTCAGCATTACTTATCCAGTGCTCCCACCAAACTCGGACAATGCTGCGAAGAAATCGATGGTCCAACACTAAAGTCTTTTGACTTCCTCGGCGCGCAGCGGCCAGGTATCTGATTCATATAATAATATGGAGCGCATTGCAGCATTGTAAACTCGACAGGTTCACAAAAGTTGCTCTGGCCTGGGGTGAAAACATAATCTTTCGCGAAACCACCGGGACTGATGCTGCTGCCCAGGTAAACTAATTTGTCCACTACCTCAATCGGTTCATCAGCAAGCATGAGGCTAGGGTTCGAGCCCACCCAGTCTTGCAGTAGCATTTTACACTTTGCCGGTGTGAAGCGCATACCGGACTATGAGGTAGAACTATTTAGATTATTTATTATTGCTTGCACCATCACGGGGTCAGATCCCAAAATAGCGTAGCATACGCTCTAGCTACTGCAGCTAGTGTCGTATGTTCTCCGAGCGACCAAACGCCTGACCTTGTAGATCTATCAAGCTTCCTGGTCATTCAGTGTTACGTGGCGTCGGTTACTGAGTCGAGTTAGGTTGTAATTGCGTTCGGAAGGAATTTATTGTCAGGCCTGCAGCAAAGCCACAATCTTATCGGAGATTCAATGCTTGGAAGAGGTTGGATGGGTTGTATTGCGAGGCCTCAAGGTCTAGTGATCACTAACGTCCGATGTCGGATCAGTAGGAAGCATCAGAAAAGTATTTTCGGGCCCATGAGCTTCTCAATGGGGAGTGTTTTGAGCGAACCTGAAAAGAATGAACAAAACCAGAAACGGACAAATGGATGAGCTTCTCAATAAGGGGAGTGTTTTGAGCGAACCTGAAGAGAATGAACAAAACCAGGAACAAACAAATGGCTGGTCAGTATCCACACAATTGCCCCAGAAAGAGCAGCAAGCAGTAAGTGATCCACGCCACCAAGCGAGATGACTGTGGTTAGAGCGAGAATTTACTGACCAGAAGGTCCGTGATTCGACCCCGACCCTGCCACTTGACTTCCCCTGTCTAGCCTTGGGCAACCTGGCAGTATCCCAACCCTCACGCTTCTTTCGGGTGACATGGCAGCTAGGCACCGAAAAGGTGATACAGCTGAATGATTTTCTGTCTTTTCCACTATGCAAGAAACTGAATAGAAATAGCTCAACGTACCTATCCTGGCTGGTGTAACTTATCAAGCGTGAGTAGTTCACCCATCGCTGGCTAGTTCCTCCTTTCTAAAAGCGTCTGGTGTATTTAAGCGCTGCTGTTCCGATGCTGTCACAAATCCGATTAGTACTTCGGAGACGCAGATGGACAAATGTTTTACCACATTTCTGATTCAAAAAACAAGATGCATCGCACTGTGGTAGAATATACTCTACCGCTAGCAGCTAGGGTGACTCCATGGGTGTTGAAGTTTGACCTGCTCCGGTCGCCTAGATCCGAAAAGTGATTCATTCTCCAACCAGTCCGCTGGAACTTACATAAATGTCTATGTAAATGAAATTACTGTTGATTGGCTGGTCTGCATCTGTCCGGCCTGGGTTGAAAGGCACCTGACCTTGTGACGATATTTCATTTTTTGCAGATGTAAAGCGCCTACCAAACATTGCGGCAGACCTAGCCAGGTTGAGATGCCTTGCACCCTGAAGGGTCGGAAGCTATGAGAGCGATATCATTCGTGCACCTGTTATCTGAGCACCAACACTCCCAGAGGGTTTCAGCTCCTGGGATATCGGAGGTACTCACAGAAATCACAGCTGAAGATGGATGGAGAGGGGACATCCTAATCTCACACTACTAAACGTAGTGAAGTCGGACAAAAGCTTACCAGGTGTCCACATAAGCACAAAAGTTGGCATGTGTGTGCTTCGAGGGGTGGCAGGACGATTGGACTGTAGTTGGGTGGGGCTAGTTAAGTGGGTCTTACACTGCACTGATTTCTACTTTTACACACCGTCTCGCGTCATTTCGGCTGACCAAAAACCGCTGCCACGTGCATGGCAGTTCTACGCCCTCTAGTCCACTCATATTGGGATGCTTGGCGATTTTCACCGCCTCGGCTGCTATGGTGTGAATCTTAGTCCCACATTTTCTAAATCTATCCTATGCCCAGTATCCAGTGCATGTCCCACCATTGTTGAATTTTTGCCTATTGCCCGATATTTATCTGCGTTCCTCAGTGGTCATTTATTGCATCGCTTATGCTCACAGATTCTGGTGTGCAATTCTCTGGCTGTCTGACATATTATCTTTAGTATAGCCGTTACACTTTATTTCGTATACACAATTCCTAGTTCTATCAACCAGAAGGCGATTCTTTAACTTCACCAGTATTGAGAGTAAACTTTTCTCTCCTGGAACGCTACTGTAATGTCAGTCGTATTCAACACCCTTTTAATGAGTTCAATTGTCCATTTTTTATGGAATGACTGCTATTCCCTCCCACACCTTGTTGGGTCTTGGTTTTGGGACCAATATCCATTTTAGTTGCAGCTTAATTAAATCCACCGGGTATCCGCTGACTTGAAGTCACTCTTTCACCTAAAGTTGAACTGCTCTTCGGTCGACTGTTCACCGAGCCTCTTAGACGAGGACTTCCAAATCAGTCCCAAACATTTCCCAAATAAGAAAACACTCTACACTCTCACTAGCGGAGTTTGCAGGTGACCGAATGGGATAAACTGCTTGATTCAAAAGTGATTGTCTGTATTTCTTCTCTGGGTGCTAGCTATTCACGCTGCCCGTCAGCCACTTGCAGCAGAAAACAAGCCTTAACTTCCGAACGGACCAACCAAGATATATAACTCACTGGGGCTTTTCAAGGTGCCAACTGCCAACTAATTTCAATGAACTGTACTGCGGCTGTAGGTTAGACTGGCTCTAAATAAAGGATAAAAATCAATTAGGATTTCAAAGATTTCAGATAGAAATGTTCCGAATATCATCACTGAAAACACGAAAACCGTGGCGCCAATTTCGCTTAGTGTGACTCAAATAGGAATTAGTGAAATACTGTCCATGTGCTGCTGTTCTCAAGAGCACTTTTTGTAGCCTGGGCAACTAATTCCGTGAGTTGGTTTGTTCAACAGATTACTTCTTGTCACGGTGTCCCTATGAAGGATGAAACCTTAGATGCACCTCTGATCGCTAAACGCTGTCGCAATTTCTGGTGATCGACGGAGTCGAAATTAGTCATTCGAACAAGAGCGATTAACGTTGGGTGTTTGGGAGATTGGCACTGTTCAAGAACCATTCTCAAAGTAAAGAAACATGAAGTGGTCGATGCATCCACGGGTCAGACGAAATCTAGTCTGTTTCTCGTGAATCCGTCCCTCTGGGTAATTGGCGTGAGATGACGTCGTAGAAGACCTTAGATGGTATGGCTACCGGGCAGATGCCGCTATGATTTTATTTCGATGAGGACCACGGAGTGGATGGTCGTGGATACGCCCCAAGATTATGCTTGCGCTAGTTTAATTGGACGGTAGCGCTAAGTTGGCCACAGTCACTCATGTGCTCAAAGGTGCACGATGTTCACGATGACGCAGATAGCAGAGGCGTGCTTGAAAACACAACTCAGTCCCATTCAATTCATCAGCTTTAAACCGTGTGACATATGCACATTGGTTCCAGCTGCTACAGTTTCGATCACCGGAAAACGGGACAGTGGAATATACAACCAAACCCTGAGGCGAAAGCATGTTCAGTTTGTTCGGACATTGGGTAGCTACGCGTTAAAGGTGATAGCTTTGATGCATGAGCGCGATTGGGCCATTTCCGCCAGCGTCATTAACCACTGGTGATTTGAGTCCCGGGGTCCCCGTCCAGGAAAGCGCAGTTGCCAACTCGACTAAGTTTACTGGTTAGTGTTTTCATACTTCGTCATACACTGTCCACCTCTCGATCGCTTTCACTCAGCATACGGCCGGGCGAAAAGAGCTCTGTGAGGCTGACGGTATTCTGGCATACGTAGTACATGAGTACATTTCCTAACCAGCGTAACCTATGAAGCGTGAGTAATTCATCTATCGCGGAGACCATCTGGCGTACCTCAGCATTACTGATCCGATGTTCGCACCAGACCTAACCAATGGTTCGGAGACACCGATGATCAAACATTGAAAATTTCCGCATGTCCTCTGCGCGATGCTTTCTGACGTCCGCGCTCATGGAATGTGACCGTAAATCTTTCCTCATCGGCGTTTGGGAGTATGATATAACCCATACCCGCTTGCCACTGTTTAATCCGCAATCGAATAGTCAGGCGGAACGTTTCACTGATACTCTGAAGAGCGAACTTCGAAAGCTTGGAAGGGAGTATATGGTCACTCAGCTGCAACATGCCTTCGGTGCATGGCTGCCATGACATTCGAAGGAAACAAGAGGGTTATGACACTTCCAGGTTGCGCAAGCCAGGAGCACTTAAGGTTCCCAGGCTGAGTCCAGAGGGTTATGACACTTCCAGGTTGCGCAAACCGGGAGCACTTGAGGCTCCCAGGCTGAGTCCGTTCAATAAGTTCACAACAGACATTCTGCAGGTTTCTGCAGACAACGAGAGATATCGAAGACAAATTCGTCTGATGCAGTTCCACTCCGACAGAAGCTCCGAAAACATTACGAAACTTAGAGATGAGGAAAAGCAACTAGAACGTGCAGCGCACACCCACTTTTGGTGCCCACTGAATAACTTAGTCTACATCTGTTTCATTCCTATGTGCACCCCAGCCGAAGCGCCATCCGTTTGTAGTTCATAGCTTTGTGTATTGCTTTTTCATACTTGTCGGTTAGGTACACATTCTTATGATGACCGCAATTTGGATTAGCTCTCAAATATTCAGCGCAAGGTGTGATCGGATCGTCAACCGCGGTTTTTCTAACGCTATACGATTAGCGTGGCGTACTTGGTGAGTCCCATACCTTGCAAATGTTTGTCATTTACTGCGCTGCAGCCGCAGCAGATGAATAATGGACAGCTCAACCGCAACCACGACAAGACCGTATACCCATTCGGCGAAGGTTGGCGTCGATTAGCGACTACAGCGGCGAACGCCTTAGTCGGACATGTTTCCAGTATATATTTTTCGTCGGCGCTTAGTAGTTCGGTGAGAGATACGAATTAGTCCAGTCATTTAGATCTAACATACGAACCAAATCCGGCCAACAAATGCGTGCATTCTGTCCCCGAATAGAGCGAATTGAGTCTGGAGGTGTACTCAACACCACCGACCTTAGCCCCACTGCGGAAGCTCCGTCGCACCACCAGCCCGATCATGCACTATGAGTACGACGCCAAACAGGTAGAATCCGAAACCAGCGATGCTACTGGAAGTAAACCCCGAAATCGAATTCACAGCAAGCCCAAGCGGCCTCACCCCTCAGCTGCGAGCAGCAAAGGCCAACAGGTTTAACTCGCACCTGATTGGTCACAGGAACGGGCCATGGAACGATTGGACATCAAGGCGAAACGGTATTAGTCGAAACTGTCTTCAGGACGCGAGTCAATTCCGTCCCTTTATTGTAACAAGGACGTCGTCCCGTTCTACTCCTGATTAGAAGTTTTGGCTGCGCGCCATTTTTAAGACCGGCCAGTTTATTTCAAGAGGCGAAATACTGAATCAATAGGTAAGTAGAGCCTCGCATAGATTCAAATTTAAATGATCTACTTCCTATAAGCTTGTCTGGTAGGCCGAAAACAATGTTTGTATTTATGGCGTAAGGCAGATGAACCGCGTGATTGTCATGTTGCATTCTGGGCAACAGCTCAAAGAAGTTGTGTTGTAGTGGACGTTTTCATTCCATTTGGAAGTGGAAGGAATTTCGGCCGTCAAAAACACTGTTTCCATATCCCGCTTAATGAGCATCCTCGCCAGGCAAGAGGCTTCGAGCTAAGTCGCTACCAAGGTACCTTCTGCGCTCATTGGTCGGCAACCTGAGTAGTGGATGTTTTCATTCCATTTGGAAGTGGAAGGAACTTCGGCCGTCAAAAACACTGTTTCCATATGCCGCTCAATGAGCATCTTCGCCAGGCAAGAGGCTTCAAGCTAAGTCACTAATAAGGTACCCTCTGCGCTCAGTGGTCAGCAACCTGCAGTTTGACCACTTGACCACAAAGGCCGGAAGCAGACAACATCGCCCCAGAGGC